TTGCATGGGTGCTCAGAGCTCTACACTCCCATTCAGTTTCAGATTCCTATGAATACCACAATCTTTAAACATCTCAGCAATCTACTACAAGTATTATGATGTTTCAATTGCTATGTAACTTAACATGATTTCTCGCTACTTCAGATAAAGCATTTTTAATACAAGACTCTCTTTCTCTCTGAAGATTAGGATGTATCCTTTGGAGAACAAAGGAAGAAGGAATCATTGGAATGTTCGTGTTCTGCCCTGCTAGGAACACAGAAGCAGGCAGACTGCTGCAGCTAGGGAAGGGCTGGAGAGACTCCTGTGCTGCTTTGACATTCCTTAGCAGTGAGAGCTCACAGAGATACAGGAGAATCCCAGGAAGTACAGGGTTCAGCTCTGCTTTCCCATAACATTGTACTGTGGGATGCTTACCTGCATTGCTTTGCTCTATCTGTCCACAAGGTGCTAGCCATGTGGCCATGAAATGTTGATAATGAGAGCCAGAAAAACTGGTTTGACTGGTTTTCAGTTTTGGAGACTTTTGCATTAGTGATGTTAAATTTCAATTAATCAGCTAGTCGAGTAGTTGATGGCATTTCCACTGACTACTCAATTAGTCGATAAGGGGTTGGATGGGCTGCGTGCTATCCTGGCTGTGCCTCTACCCTTTTAAATGTAGCAGGAGCAGCCCGCAGCAGCTGCTGTTCATGGTGGATAGGGCTGACCACAGATAGGACTGCTGCCGGAGCAGCCCCTGCCCTGGCTGCCGCCAACGGTGGCTGCTGGACTTGGTGTGAGCTGGACTGGGTAGTCCTAGCTCTCACTGGTCTGGGACGCTGCAACTCTGCATTTTAAATGTAGTAAGAGCTCGACGGCTCTTACTACATTTAAAATGCAGAGCTGCTTTGTGGGTGGCTCATGGAGCTGGCACAAGCTGCTACTGCTCAGTACTGGCTCAAGCTGGCTTCTGGAGTTACCTCTGCTGCAGCTGTTCAGAGTGGTCCTTATTGGCTAATCGTGTAGTTGATACAAGTTGTATTGACTACATAGTTAGCCAGATAACTGCAATTTAACATCCTTAATTCCACTGAAAAGAAAACAGCGAAAGTTATGGAACTCAAGAAAGCATATTATGAAATCCAGAATTTCCATAAACACCATTACAAAATCACCAGCATGCTTTGGGATTTGCAGCATATTACTGTGGAGATAAATAGTGGAGAAGCAGCAGACCTCTGCATTAATATTGCGGAGCTGTGACTGCTGACCATCAAGAAATGTTTGCCCTGTTGACTTCTGTACTATTTATAAACTTTAAGTTCCCAGGACTTCCTTTGGCCCAGACATATGTTGCTTCCCTTCCGATTTTCCAGGGGTGCAATTTGCGTACCTTTTTCCGATAGATCATTGTAGTGTAGACCTAGCCTAGCTCAGCAGGA